CTTCTTCTATATATATATCATTACAACTGTCTCGCCGTCCGCAACTGCAACTGCAACTTCTCAACTTTAATTTTCTCTTCGGGTTTCTGGACAAATTTCTTCACTTCGGATTCTCTTGCCCGCAAAGGGGCGAATGAACCGGGCCCGACGCCCGCGTTCAAGCTCCCTCGCTGTCCGCGTCCCAGCTCCAACTGATTTCTGTCGATTGGGGTCCTGCTTTTATTGACGCCGTAACAAACTGGGGTGGGTCTGTCGGCGCCAGGGTTTTCCTTGATAATTTCAAATGTCGCATTATTTTTGATTTCCCATTATCGCTATTACTTTCACTCCTACTTCCTTACAGTGTCTCTGGGGGAGGCGCATACCCGTTTCCCTTGGTCCCTCGTATGTCAGGTGACCGCTCTCGACCAATGGGGTCCTGGTCGGGCATTTCCTCCTCCCTCGCACATCACGTGACCGCTCTCGGCCAATGGGACTCTGGTCGGGTGTCTCCTCCTCTCTCATGTATCGTGACCGCTCTCGGCTAATGAGACTCTGGTCGGTATCTTCCCTCCTTCCTTCGTGACGTCTCCAATCGGGCGTGAACAATCCGGGGCTTTGTTCTGGGAAGAAACACCTTGAAAAAAAAAAAAAAAAAAAAATTTAAATTGTCTTTTTCGTATACGCGGTATTTGTCAAAACAGCCCGCCGCTAATTAGATGTGACTTCAGGAAAAATTTTTCTCCGACCCTGCTGGCGTCTTCTGTGAGCTAAAACAAATATTTCACCTCTTTTTCTTTCGCTCAGGCCTGTTAACAAAATTTTAATTATCTGAATTGAAAATATCTTCCACTCATCATTTTGGGTGGTTCTTATCTTCAACTCTAGAAATGGTCAGGGTTTGTATTAATGTTTTGTTTTCGTATACATTTCCCCAGCGGTTACTTATCATCTCAATGACACCCTTTTCGTTCATTACTTATTAATATTTTTTTTCCATTGTTCTAAAAAATCTTATTTCTTCAACCAAATTGATAACAAACTCCCATACTCCGCGGACACGAAAGTAGGTCAGGTGCTTTGACCGATATCTGTTATTTATCAATCGCGCGTGTGCCTATCCGCTCACTACCCGTCTTCATGTTCCTGTCTTTTCCCTTTCTTTCTTTTTTATTATTTCTAAACTCTATTCCTTCAACCAATTATAACAATTTCTATTTTCCGTGGATTTCGGTCAGGTACTTTGACCTAGATATCTTTTGACACCTGTTTTGCTTATGACCGGGTTTCATTGACTTTTTTTCTTCTTTTCTCTTTCTTTTTTCTTTCTTCCTTCTTTCTTCTTCCTTTCGGATCGCCTAAATACAATTAGAGAATTATTCTCAAAACTCAATTATTCTTCATCTCTAAATAAATAACAACTGGTTAATAAAACGAATAAAAAATTAAATCATATTTCTATGAATTATCTCTTTTTAGTTTTCTAATAATGCAGGGTGCCACAATTCTTTTCTATTCTCAGTCTTCTCAAGTTTTTAATAACTGTGTTGCGTACCAGTGGTGGAAAAACCTTTGTTTTATATAAATATATATATATATATATATATATATATATACAAATTAATACTTACAAATATAATTATATATATATATATATATATATATATATATATATATATATATATATATATAAACAAATGTTTGGAGGTACAAAAATTTTATAAATATTTTTAAAAACAAGGAAACCATTGATTTTAATTTAAAAGTCTCTTAGGCCCTTTCAGCCAACATCTCATCAGGAGACAATCGTTGGATTAGCGAAATGAATAATAGCGATATTGAAGAGCAAAAAAAAAAAAAAGGGAAACACACTAAAATAACGAACAAGTATATATATACTTGTAACGAGGGAAGGGATCGTGTAAATAAATTAGCGAGGACAGTTAAAATAAAATATCCCCAACAGATTCAGAGACCTTATAAATTCTTTCTGCCGGCAAGAGAGAAGACTTTTTTTCTTAATCCTATACAGACCGATTCCAAAATCTTCAAATGATTATTGGAATCGGCTGTATGAATAATTCTAAATCACTCTTTTTTTATACAACTTGGCACAAGCTATATTCTCAACTAAATGTTAGCAAGTCGGTTTCCGGTTGTTTCCCATCAGTTGCTTTACGTAGCATTTTTCAAACTAGGTCTGCGTTTCCGTCTTTTCGCAAGGATGTATTGCCCTACATCAAATTGAGTAATTTAGTATATGAATTTAATTGCCAGTGTGCTGCTGGTTATGTGGGGCGTACAACCTTGCATTTGGAAACTAGAATTAATCAGCACGTACCTTCCAAAATACGACTTGGTAAGATCGATAGAATATGCTATCTTCCCCCCATGAATATGGAATCGGCTATTGCTCAACATTTAGTTGAGAATATAGCTTGTGCCAAGTTGTATAAAAAAGAGTGGTTTAGAATTATTCATACAGCCGATTCCAATAATCATTTGAAGATTTTGGAATCGGTCTGTATAGGATTAAGAAAACCTTAAAACTATATATATATATATATATATATATATATCACGATTTACGTCCCCTAATTAAAACCTACCCAGTAGCTCAGGATTCTTTTAATTACGTCTAAGATTTCCCTGCTTATGAATACTTTACTTAGATTTTGGAATGTTTCTTTTAGTATTCCAATACTTGTTTGATTTTCCATCTAATGTTAAAAGACTTGCTATGTACTTAAACATTTGTTATTCTTTGATTTCGACATTTCGTAGTTCGTGTCTTGAAGTCTTTCACATTTAGGCAACCATATATTATGAATTCTTACAATTGAAGGTTAGTCCTTTATTCTTCCTTTCTTTTCTCACATTGTCTCGAAGCCCTGTAATTCTTGTAAGTCTGATATTAACACATTCGCATCTGTGTATCTTCGATTATTTCTCTCCAGATATTCTTGTTTTCCGTCTTCGCAGAAATACTTTTTTCTATCTATTTGATAATCCAGGGCATAAATATAAACTACATCTAGTAGAAATGCTTCTGATCAGGAGATTGAAGCTTTTGATTGGTGTGGAAGCACCTCTTAATTGCTGTTGTTCCCTGGTCTAACATGGTCAGGGGTTGTAGCACCTGTACGGGACCCCCAAACCACAGCAAAACACTATCAAAGTTTAAAAATAGATATTTATAGTAAAAATACCAGCATTACTTTTCTATATAAAAATTAACCACCAATACATATTTATATTAATATCTCCAGCAATACATTTTAAACCAAAATTAGGAACAATACGTTTTATGGTGTAATTATGAAAGGATACATTGTTTTTTTGCATTTGAAGTCATCGAATTATGTTAAAATATTTAGAATTCGACATTAAATTACATTTCCAGCCAAACGACCAACATGAAAGAACTCCTTCATGACATTAGTACATATAATATCCTACAATTCCTTAAAGAAATCAAAGTGTATTCCACAATGTAACTTCAACAAAACTACAACATAAGGCACACATATCATCGCACGTATATATATATATATATATATATATATGAAGCTGAGAATCATCTACCATGTATTCAATTGTGAAAGCAGAATAACATATATATTTCTATTACGTTAAATCTCCCAAGAAAATTAAATTTCGGCATCAAATGACCCATAACTTGTTCAACCATATTAAATAGTTCATCAATGGATTCTCTGGCCTAACTGATTTGGTCTACCCCTATTAATTTTTTTCTAGTATTTCTTTTAATTTCAATTGTTTCTTATCATAACTTTTCCGATAGTCTTCGGCTATTAGTAAGCAAGTGGTAATATCACAATAGGTGAACACTTGTCAGTAATCATTAATTTTTATTAGTATTTTCTGTTATCGTAATTTCAATAGCTTTATTTACACTAGTCGTATTTGTAGTAGTAATATTATTTCGATAATTCATTAGCTGAAGCATTATCAGTTATTATTAATTTTTTTGGAAACTTCTTAATTGATCTTTCTTTCAATTGCTTTTCATCTTAACTTTTCAGACATTCACCTGATGAGTAAACAAACGGTAATATTATCCTGAATTTTATTGGTTGAAGTATTATCAGTTATTTATTTTTGACAAGCATCCCTTTCGTCTTAATTTCAATTGATTTTTGTACCAACTACTTAGACTTTCTGTCGAGGGCTATTAAGTAAACAAATGGTATCACCATTATCATCATCATGCCCGTGACCGGATGTGATCGAAGGGTCGCTTCGCAGCTGTGCTCCTAGCCAGTTCTTTCACATATCTGGAATTACTAACTAGACGTTTTATCTGCACTTGAAGGCATACAATTGTGTTCAAAATATATTTAGATTCGGCAGTAAATAACTGATTCTACCAAACAACTAACATGAAAGAACTCTTTCATGACATTAGTCCTTATAATATCCTACAATTCCTTAAAGAATTCAAACTTTATTCCAAAAGATCGAATCAACAACGAGAGAGAAGCCGCCAGACACCATGCGAGAAATGGCAACTTCACAGAACTCACGTGACTTCCTGCCGCTGTAGGTGACCCTCGACTTTACGCTGTGTTCCAGAAGCCTTGACTAGACATCGTCACAACGAACAAAGTGACAGGAAATATTCGAAGGAAAGAAGGAAAGAGTCGAATAACTTTACAAGGCAAATATATTCCTTCATGAAGAACATATATTTTTACCTGAAGAATTTGGATATTGTAACATCAGCTCTGTAAAAGAAACGGCATATATAAAATATTTTCTTTATTACAATTTATCCTATGACTTGTGGCTTCATTTTGTCAGGATCAGACCAATTCAACGATTCTTGTCGACAATTTTTATCATCGCCGGCCTCGTAATCTAAATCAAACACAGCGTGGGACAAGGCAAGGATTGTATCGAAGTGATCCATTCAGCGGTCAGACGCGTGGATCGGACATCAAAAGAACCTGCGGGGGGTACGTCGCAACGTCATAATTAGTACCGAGACCAGGATTCACCTACGGTTGACTACGGCCAACCAAAAGGGAACGATCCAGCAGGTTGAAATAAATCGCTTTGTTAGGGGATATGAAAGACGACCGAACTCACGTGACTTTCTACCGCTGAAGAAGATCACCGACTTTGCTCTGTGGTCCCAAAAGCCTGACCTAGACTTAGTCACGGCAGAGTATCACGAAATCTTTGAAGAATGGAAGGGTCGAATAACTTTGCATGACAAATATATTCCTGCATGTAGAACATATATTTCTCCATGAAGAACTGATATTGTGACATCAGCTCGGTACAAGAAACGGTATTGCAAAAAATGTCTTTATTACAATTTATCCGATGACTTGTGGCTTCATTTTAACCGGATCTGAGCAATTAAACGATTTCTGTCGACAATTCGATCCTCGCCAGCTTTGTGATCTAAATCTAGCACAAATTGGGACAAGGCAAGTCTTGGATCGAAGTAATCAATTCAATGTCACCAGCGGAGATCGAACCTCGAACGGACCGGTTGGGTGAATGCCCCATGCTTATAAATTGTGAAAGCAGAATAACAAATATCATATTTCTATTACTTCAAAGTTCCAAGTAAATTCCATTTCTGCATTAAATGGCTCATAATGAGTTGGTGTGCCGTTGAACAAAGAAATCAATCAATCAGTTCAATTGAGCAAATCTTTCAAGTGTGTTTCTCTAGACGTCAACGTCTTTTTTTGCAAGTATCGTATTCTACAAACTTACTTTCTTCTTTATGGGTTCCAAAAGTACTTATTATTTCTCTGTAGTTTCGATTGCAAAAAGAAAAATGATTCCTCATACATATCTCCATTTTATTCTTAAGATTTGTCGGAAGAATGTCATCCCGTTGAATCCACATCTTGGCGAACGTTTTCGTTATTCACTTGGAGATAACCAGATCAGTATCATGCAGCAATCAGGGTCTGTTTTATATTTTCCAATCGTCCAATCCCTTCTTATCTTGCTCCATATGACATAGAGGTCACCGTCGACTCACGATCTATGCGACGTAATACCGCTCGAATTTCACGACTACGACAAGCGAATTGGTCTATCTGGCCACAACTGCTCCGTGTCTGGCAACGTTAGTGTCTCCGTGAACGACATGCAAGAATTGAACGGATTGAGCAAGATGTATTTCGTCCACATCGTGAAATTTATGGGTAGAAAAAAAAATACATACACACATATTTCAGAAAATAATAACAACGACAACTGTTACTCCGCTCCCTGGCCCACTTGACGATATCGACGATCGACAACGACGAGAAAGCAGATGTTTTGTATTTCCCTATGATGTATGTATTTCCCTATGTTTTGCAAACAAAATGTTTTCTAATTTTTGTGCCTCTATTTTCTTTTCTTTTTTTGCATGTTCAGCAAATATTAAACCAACTGTACTTTAGTGCACAGTGTTTGACAAGGTCTTGATCAACGTAAAAATAATAACGAAAACAATGTGTAGTGCGTCGATAAAAATAATAACAAACGTAAAAAGAAACCGCCAAAATTATACAAAATAAAATTATGCATAAAGAAAAAAAATATTGCAATATTAATTATAGTCCGACTTACGAAATTATCTGTCCACACAAACACATATATACATGAAGCCGAGAATCATCTACCTTGTATTCAATTGTGAAAACAGAATAATATATATATTTTTATAACTTCAAATCTCCCAAGAAAATTAAATTTCGGTATTAAATGACCCATAAGTTGTTCAACCATATTGAATAGTTCATCAATGCATTCTCTGGCCAAATTGATTTGGTCTACCGCCATGATGTTTTTACTAGTATTTGTTTTTCAAGTAGTCTTCGACTGCTAGTAAGCAAGTGGCAATATCAAAATGGGTGAACACTTGTCAGTAATCATTCATTTTTATTAGTATTTTCTCTTATCTTAATTTCAATTGCTTTATTTACACTAGTCGTATTTGCAGTAGCAATATTATTCCGAAGATTTATTAGCTGAAGCATTATCAACTATTATTAATTTTTTGACTTCTACTTAATTGATCATTCTTTCAATTGCTTTTTCAGACATTCACCTGATGAGTAAACAAACGGTAATATTATCCTGAATTTTATTGGTTGAAGTATTATAAGTTATTCATTTTTGACAAGCATTCCTTTCGTGTTAATTTCAATTGATTTTTGTACCAACTTCTTAGACTTTCAGTCTACGGCTATTAATTAAACAAATGGTATCATCATCATCATCATCATCATCATCATCCCCGTGACCGGGTGTAGTGGAAAAGTCGCTCCGCAGCTGTCGGTCGCAACCAATCGTAGCCGGAAGTCAAAGATATCCTGTATATATTCAGCAACTAAGTTTAAACTAATAGGGTAGAGTGGGATTTGTAGACTTATCTGACATCAGTTATACGAGAAAGACTATTCAGAATTCAATACTGTTTAGAGAATAACAATTAATCTCTCAATTATTTTATTTCTAAAAAGCCGTGGCGATCAACAAATTGACTTGTAGAGAACCATGATCTCCGACGTACTGAAGGACATTATATTAAAGAAAGATAATTATTGATATTTCGCCACAAACTAAACGCATCCCAAAACCTTAGCAGAGTATTATGAGACTGGAGGATTTCTTTGGTGACAAAGAAAATAATGCTCAGCTGCTACGCGACACCTGTCCTCTTTTACGGCAGCGAATGTTGGACGGTCTCCTCACAGATAAAGACGTGACTCGTGGGAACGGTGGTATGGTTCTACAGAAGGATGCTAAGTATATCAGTGGCCGAGCGTGTGAACAGTTATAAGGTTTTGGAGGGGATGCAAGCAAGGAGGAATCTTTTATTAGGTTGGTGAAAAAATAATGTCGTTTTAAACGTCAAAAAACGGCATTATTTTTGCACCAACCTAATACTTAACATCAGCAAGAGGCAGTTGAAATTTATGGGACACGTAATAAGAAAGAAGGATGTGGAGAATATGATACTCACAGGCCGAACAGAAGGAAAGGGAGACAAGGGAAAGCAACACAGGACATACTTAGCGGGCTTAAGCAATTGGATGACGGGACAGAAGTAGAAAATGAACAAAACTTATTGAAAGCTACAAGAGATAGGGGGAATGAAGAGCCATGATCGCCTACGTCCTGAAGGGACACGATACATAAAAATTAAAAAAAAAATGTTCTGAAACCATCGCGACATTAAACAAAATATCCCTATTAATTTCCCCTCTCTCACCAGCCAAAGGCAAAATAGCATGTTTGGTTATGCTTTCTAGCATTTATTGCAAGAGGTCTTGGATAAGGAATATTCTGAATTTAAGATTATGGAGAGAAGCTTTCTCATGACCTACAAAAGAGAGAGCCTTAATCACCCATATCTTGAGGGGACATGGCCCATAGAAGAAATAGGAGATATTTCTTAATAATAAAAACAATCCACAGATAAAACAGAAAGATAATCTGGGAACAGGCATCATCTCTTACGAAATGAAAGGGCATGATATTATAGTTTTTTTTTCAAATGTTATTGATTATATCGAAAAGTAGTGGTAATGATTCTGGGACAAAAGATACAATAGAAACTAACGGGAGACTACTCCAGTATCTTTCCCAATACGTCATTGTAATTAACGATCCATGATCACCTACATCTTAGGCCCATGACTTTATTGTAATTATTGTTATCATAATAATAATAATTATCATTATTAGTAGTAGTAGTGGTAGTAGTAGTGGTAGTAGTAGTAGTAGTAGTAGAAGAAGAAGAAGAAGAAGACTAAAAATACAAAAAAGAATAATAACGGTAAGAATGCTAAGAATAACAACACAAAGAATAAGAAAAATAAAAGAAGAAGAAAAAGGAAGAAAAAGAATTAAATAAGAATACAAAAATTGGATGGAGAAGAAGAAAAAGAACAATAAAAACAACAAGAACAAGACCAATAATAATAATAATAATAATAATAATGAGAAGAAGAAGAAGAATAGAAAAGAAATAGGAAGAAAGAAGTGAAGAAGAAGAAAAAAGTAGGGAAGATGAAGAAGAAGAACAACAACTACAACCACAATAATAATAATAATAATAATAATAATAATAATGAGAAGAAGAAGAAGAAAAAGAAGAAGAAGAAGAAGAAGAAGGACAACAACAAAAACAACGATATTAACAATAATAATAATAATAAGAAGAAGAAGACACCCCGTCAAATATCATAATAATATTTAGCCAGTCTATATAATGTGCTGATAATTTTTAACGTTATTTTATTTTGGGGTAGGAAAGATGATATATGGATCCCATGTTATTTAAAAATAGAAGAGAAAAAACACAACTGTTTTGAATCATCGTTTTAGAAATATAATAGATTTCGCTTTTTTTTTAATGGAAAATCCGATCCGAATTATTGTGTAACAAATACCCTTTTGAATGGAGGACCGATTTAGGAAAAATAAAATATTCTGACGTGGTTGGTGGTGAAGAAACGAACAGAAATATAATGGCGTCGTTTGATTCTCCTGTTTCTGATGCTGCAAAGATATATAGATTGTAATCAGGATAGCATGAAATTCAAGTTTAGGAAATAGATAGAAAGGGAGATCTGGCTGTCGAATTCAAGGGTGGCTTTTGGGTTGGTCGATGCAGGGGCGGCTGGTAACCTGTTTCTCATGGCTGCCTGCGGGCTTCTTCGTTAAATGTGGCAGCTGTTGCATATCCTTCTCTTGGGCGATTTTTGGGCTCCGTTGAACAAAACGAGAGCAAACGATGGAGCGATCAAGCGAGAGATAAAGAGAGAACGAGAGAGAGACAGAGACAGGTACAGAGACAGAGAGAGAGAGATTAAGAGTGAGAGAGAGAAAGCTAGAGAGAGTGCAAGTGAGAGAGAGAGAGAGAGAAAGAAATTTAGAGAGAGCGACCAAGCAAGAGAGCGAGAAAGAAAAAGTGAGAGTGGGTATGAGAGAGAGTGAGAGAGAGAGAGCGAAAGTGACAGAGAGCGATCAAGCGAAAGATAAAGAGAGAGAGAGAGAGAGAGTTTAAGAGTGAGAGATAGAAAGCTAGAGAGAGTGCAAGTGAGAGAGAGAGAGAGAAATTTAGAGAGAGCGACCAAGCAAGAGAGAGCGAGAAAGAAAAAGTGAGAGAGGGTATGAGAGAAAGTGAGAGAGAGAGAGAGAGAGAGCGAAAGTGACAGAGAGCGATCAAGCGAAAGAGAGAGAGAGAGAGGGGAATATTGAGAGTGAAAGAGAGCAAAAGTCAGAGAGAAAGTGAAAGTGAGAGAAAGCGACCAAACGAGAGCCAAAGAGAGAGTAAGAGAGAGTCTGACAGAAAGTGAGAGAGAGCGAAAATGAGACAGAGAAAATGAGAGAGAGCGATCAAGCAACCGAGAGAGAGAGCGTAAGTGAGAGAGAGAGAGAGAAAGAGAAAATGAGTGTGAGTGTGAGAGAGGCGTGTGAGTGAGAGAAACCGAAATTGAGGGAGAGAGATCAAGCGCCAAAAAGAGCAAGTGAGAGAGAGAGTGTGTGTGTGAGCGAGAACGAGAGTATCTCTTTGTATGTGAGAGAGAGAGAGAGAGAGAGAGAGAGAGAGAGAGAGAGAGAGTTTGTGTGTGTGTTTTGCCGTGGCTGGCGGGAAGAGGATGGGAAAAGCCATCGAAAAATATTGGTAAATAATCGTAATAAACAGCATTTCTCTCTCAGAATTCTATTGTCTGTGAACATAGCGCGAAGAGGAATGTCAAACACCCTCTCCCACCGCCACTCTTCGCGCTTACGCCATTTTAAATACATCAAAGATTTCCCAAGCAGGTAATTGTTCAGGCAGAAGAAGATTACTTTTTTTTAAAACCACGTGCACAAATATCGGATGTGCTAATATCAGTACTGATCCATTTCTACAGCCATGCAGAAATGATGTGTTTTTTGTGTACGTGCCCTAAAAGCACAGAGACATTATATAGATATGTGCGTGTGTTTGTGCATGTGTGTATGAAAGAGAGAGAGAGAGAAAGAGAGAAAGAGAGAGACAGTGTGTGTGTGAGAGAGAGAGAGAGAGAGAAAGAGAGAGAGAGAGAGAGAGAGAGAGTGTGTGTGTGTGTCTGTGTGTGTGTGTCTGTGTGTGTGTGTGTGTGTGTGTGTGTGTGTGTGTGTGTGGTTAGGAACACATGACGGGTGCTGAAAAGTTCACATCTTGACCAACACACTTTTCGTAATTATATTCTAATATTTCATTATGAAAATATCAATTTTAGTAAATGAGCCATCTCCACACTCCCAGCTACGGGCTAAATAGTAAGCCGCTATTACTAAATTATTATTACCTAAGAAAAAATTCTCAAAATCTAATAATATTTTCTGACTTTAAATAACCTGCAAATGGTTGATAAGCTGTAGAAAGCAAATAGAAAAACGACGCAAATTGTTTGCCAAACTGCTCTCTGATATTAAAAGCAATATCTTTAAAGCAATCATATGTTTCTTAAGTAACGTTACTTAAATTTCTCTACAAAGAATTTAATTTTGACATCATCATCAGAGCTGTTTCAACTTAAAAACACGTTGAAAATCAATATTTACATTATTCGGACTATTGTCCTCATCCTTGTTGCCATATTTATCACAGCCGCAATGGACCTTCGAGTTCCAATGTCATACTTTCTGTCCTCTGTTAAAACACGATCCAGATATTTAAATTGTTGTACTCTCTTGATTTTGGCATCTCCATTTTATAATGTTGGGCTGGTCTTTTTACTAAAAATCATGAATTTTGCCTACTTGCATTTTATGTTTAGTCATTTTTTCTCGCTTTTCTTCACTACCATCTGTAGGAGTTCTTGTACGTTCCTTTGTGTGTCTGCTCTCAACACTTGATCATCTGCATATCTTATGCTGTTAAGATTGTGGCCATCACTAAGGAATTATTTTAAGACTTCTCATTCTCTCAAAATCAGCTAAGTTAAATAAGTCTGGTGAGAAGACTCATCCTTGTCTTGCAAACTTTTCTATATTTGTCTATTTATTGAATTTCTTTTATATTGTATACAGGCACCTCTCGCTTGTGGAACTCACTTCCGGCTCCATGCTTTCCAGGCTTTCCAGGCAACTTTAATCCGCAAATATTTAAATGTTTAGTTACTCACTATCTACTGTCCTCCTCGCTAATCTTTCCTCTTCTCGCTCATTGTTAATGTTTCTATTACTAATTCTTCCACACTCTGTAACCCTTTCTGCCTTAGTTGCTTTAATATCTTACACGAGCTAATGCTAATAAAAAAAATGCAGTCTTCTGCGAATCAGTTATGTGCCATGCGTGATACACGCGTAGGTGATCAGATATCTTTGGATACATGACTGACGAGGTAGATTCTTCCCTCTCCCAGTAGACCAGTTACCATCCAAGGCTATAGAACCGAGTTTGTCCTGCTATTTACGTAGAGTTGGAGAAAGAAGAGAATTCATACCTTTCCCAAGGCTATTAGCACGTAAGTGAATGTAATGGATTCGACTGGAATTCGAACTCGGCTCTGCGATTCATCAATTCGAACCGCTATTGAACCCGGTCTGTCCTGCTACTTACCCATAGCTTGGGAGAGAAGAAGAGGATTCATACCTTCCCCAAGGGTATTAGCACATAAGTGAATGTAATGGATTCGACTGGAATTCGAACACGACTCTCCAATTCATCAATCTGAACCGCTATTGAACAAGGTCTGTCATGCTACTCATGCATGGCTTGGGGGATAAAAATAGGATTCATACCTTTCCCAAGGGTATTACCACGTAAATGAATGTAATGGATTCGACTGGAATTCGAACACGGCTCTCCAATTCATCAATCCTAGCCGCTATTGAACCCGGTCTGTCATGCTAATTACCCATAGCTTGGGGGAGAAGAGGTTTCATGCCTTTCCCAAGGGTATTATCACGTAAGTGAATGTAATGGTTTCGACTGGAATTTGAACTCGGCTCTCCGATTCATCCATCCGAGCCGCTATTGAACCCGGTCTGTCCTGCTATTTACCCATAGCTTGGGGGAGAAAAAGAGGATTCATACCTTTCCCAAGGGTATTAGCACATAAGTGAATGTAATGGATTCGAATGGAATTCGAACACGGCTCTCCAATTCATCAATCCGAGCCGCTATTGAACCCAGTCTGTCATGCTACTTATGCATAGCTTGGGGGATAAGAAAAGGATTCATACCTTTCCCAAGAATATAACACGTAAGTGAATGTAATGGATTTGACCAGAATTCGAACTCTGCTCTCCAATTTCTCAATCCGAGCTGCCATCCATTACTCCACTGCGAATATAGGTTCTAATTCCCATTTGTCTGCAGCTGGATCTATTTTGGTTTTCGGTATATAACTATTGTTTTATATTTATTTTATTGTATGTATAATCATGTCTGTGCTGAAATAATTTATGGCTGGCAGAATCCCTTTTACCATTTCATTGTCCTGCTGCTTTCTTGCTATTCAATTCGGCCAGAGCTGATTTCACTTCCGTTTTTAATAGTTTTGGTCCTTCCATATTTCTATGTATTGCCCTCTTTCTTCTAGGAAGAGTTTTTCTATATTTCTGAGATGAGCTATTATGTACACTATTTATATTATTCGGACTATTATCCTTATCTTTGTCGCCATATTTATCACAACGTTTCGGTAGTTGTACACTCCGGCCTTCTTCAGGTGGTTGGAATGTCGAACTGAACCCTTTATTTTGCTCGCTGGGGTAGACTGTTCTAGTTCCACGTGCCATATTTAATGGATGTCAGATGTCAGTTATCTCCACTGTCTTAAACAGGTATTGAACTCACACTCTTTGGGTCCTGTCACTGGATCGAACTAACGCCTTTATCCGCTATATCATATCTGCTTTATCTGTGACACTCATTCTTTCTATTTCAGCACCTTTTTTGTTGATTTATTCCTCTTTAGCTCACCGGCAATTGTACCTAATTTCTTTGTTCAGTGTTCTATACTCTGTGCTTTATCTTGGCATTGCTATTTGTCTCATTTTCTTCATGTTAAGAATTCATCTGTCATCCATTCCTTTTTTCTCTCACTAGTTTTCTTTGGAGTGATTGCGATTACTGATGTAACTTAAACTTCTTTAATGTGTCTCACTTCGAATCTCCATTTTGTCCATATTTGCTTTTAACACTGTCAATATTGGGCCTTGTTTTTGATTAGCATTAGTATTAAAAAAAATAATAATTACTAATTGTTTAAGTTTGATGATGTCCTCAGCATTTCCTAATAATGACCCAACTTTCACAAACCTTATCCATCATCCTGTGTTTTTATTTCCTCTCTCCAATAACGTACAATTAGTTTCTTCCTAAATTCTGTCCAGGTTTCTACCTGGAAATATCTATGACGATGCAGGTAAAATCAAACTTGTAACCGCTTAACTTGAATAGATTGTGGGCATCAACATTTTTGATGAGATTTTAATGCTCCTGTTACATTTGACCCGCAAACAATATGGTTGAACTCATGAGTCCAGGTTAAGTTAAAACACAACACATAGATTTTAAACAAATAAAAATAAAATGAAATGTGAAGAGTTCAAATATACCTTCGGTGTTTGTAGCTGAATTACCTACATATCGAAGGGAGCGAAAAAAATACGTCTTTTCGCTATGAAAAGTCACCGAGAAAAAAATGGGTTGTTTCAAATCTCGCACCACCTGAAATTATAGTCAGGGGGCGGTAATTCAATATCCCACCACCTGTGCTTATCATCAAGGGGCGGTAATCCAATAAATCACATTTCGTCTTATTAATATAGATTCTATTCTTATGATATAAAATTGTTTTTCTTTTCTGTTAACATCGGTTGCTTTTAAAACAATATAGCTCTCTGTTGTCATATTATTTCACAACTTGTCAGTTGATACGGTTTTTTCTCCTTAAACCGTGTTTAGGATATTGTACATTGTCATATCAGACCCCTAGAATATACAATTGTATTTCCCGATATTCTATGGCATATAATTATTTTAATGTTTTGCAAGGAGAGATTCGATTAAATTTATAACACAATTATGGGGCATATAAAAGTGTTCTTCTTCCTCCTTCATCGAACTAATATTGTATCCCTGATGCCTAATGAAAACTACTGATATTTATTCCCACAGTGAATTACTTGGTTCCCTCCTGAGTGGAAACTACATCAGAATATCATTTAGTTAAGCAGGTTTATTTTATGAAGAGTGTTTGTTGTGGAGTGAAGCTCTCTGAGGTCAACTAGTTACCACATGTCGATTTTTTTCATGAAGCAAATGGTTTAAATTAGGACGGATTTGACGTCTGCCAAAACAGGTAATTTAGCTGTGCTAGCAGTAGTCGGTTTCAATGTGCACAGGACTGAAATTGAGATGAATGACTCGCATACCTTGGGTTGCAATGGCGTGAATATTTGAAGATCTTACACGGAGATGAGATGTGGCAAATGTTAAAATTTTAGTTTCGGAATCTACACGAATTTCTTTGTAGGCAGATTACACATTCCCATCAGCGTATTAACCTTAGGTCATTAGTCGCATTGATAGGTGCTGTGAATCTTCAGGAACCAAACACGCTCCACACATGCCGTGTCTTGCCTGAAAATTTTCATATTTTCGCCTCTTTCAGAGGGCAAATTTAATAATATCACAACGACATTTACTGTAGCCGACTGAGCGTACACCATAATGCAATGGGAGAATGCTGTTT